AAAACTGGACAAGAATTCAAGGTGAATGGCCATAGGTTGAAACCCTACTACGAGAACTTTGTCGAGCATGTTGTGGAGGAGATCCCATTGCATGCCGTGAGCTCCAATGGGGAATGAGCAGAACGTCGTCCGGCTGCAAGACGTAAAAGAAAGCGCTACTTGGGAGGCAACCCATGCAATCAACAAAGGAAGAACTTGGGAATCGCTCCACACTCAGATTTGCGTCCCTAAACCCTTTCCTTTGTTGCTTACTTTATGTTATGTGTAATATGTTCAATTGTGTCTGAAACATTGAGGACAATGTTTAGTTTAAGTGTGGGGGGGTAACATTCTGTTTTGAGACTTTTTGCATGAAATTCGTAGGGTATTACCACCTAACATGTCTAAACTTGTTTCCCACTGTTTTTAAGTGTTTTTAAGCTATTTTAGAGTGTTTTAGAGTGTGTTGTCTTAAAAATCCGAAAATCCCATAAAAATTTGAAAAATTGTTTTGAAAAACCCAAAAAGAGTTGTTTTTGTGAGTTTGTTTGTGTCGTAGGTCACCTTCCAACACAATGATGAGGATTTGGTTTTTAATTGCATGATGGTTAAAGAAAGTTACAAACATGGATGGACGTTTGATATACTCTTTGGTTTATGCTTGGTTGTAGTTATAGTTTACGAATTCACATGTAATCACAAAGAAAAAAATTAGTTTTTGTAACATGCTTGAAGGAAGGAACTTAAACAAATGCTACATCCCTGTGAGACTTGAGCCTAAACGTTATTTGGAGAGTAATAATCTGTTCATCATTGTTTTCTAAAGTCGTTGCATGATCTCATTATTCTTTGCTTGGTTACTACTTAGAAGGCGTTTCATCACTTAGTTCCACATGCTAGAACTCATGCCCATTTCATTCAAAGCATGTCATTGATTTGCATAACACATATTCAAGATGAAGTTGTGTAGTGACCACCATCAAAGCCAAACAGCCATGTGCCCTTCACTCATTTTGTGTTTAAGTTTAACCCCATTGAGCCGTGTTAGCCCATGTTCTTTGTTAACCCACATTATCCTCACCTAGCTTAGATTAGGACCATCCGTATCCTTATTCTTGAAGCATAGTAAGCATGAGTGAATTCCCTTTTATTAACGTGTTGCAGAAAATAAGTGTGGGGGAAGGATTATTGATATGAGTTTATGTGCCATAGGCATGGATTCAAAAGAAAAAAAAGAAAGAAGAAAGAAAGAAAAGAAAAGAAAAGGAAAAAGTGAAAAAAAAAAAAAGTTGAAAAAAGTTGAAAAGTATTGGTTGTTGAAGTAAGGGCCCAAAACAATGAATTAGGCCCTAAGAGTTGTTTGAATCTCCCCTATTTGTTTAAAAGTTGATTTCTGCATTCTAAGGGAATTCTAGGTCTTAATTTCATTACTATACTTACTATTGCTTAAAGAACTTTTGTTTATCCATACCTTCCCTTGTTAGCCAATACCCTAAGCCCCGTTACAACCCTGACTTCTATCTTGAGTGTTGTGCATTTCAATTTGTGGAGTTTGAACTTGGTATGAGCATATGGTGTCACTGGTTCTCGCATCTAAGTAGTAGCATTCCATTCATGAGATCATATCTAAACACGTTTAATTACTCCAGAAATTGCGTTCTTTGTTATAACATATGTGAGTACTAGTCTTTCATGTTTACATCAATCTTCTCACATATAACTAGTGTAGGGTGTGTAGTCAGAAAATCTGAGTGAAAATTGAGTGCATAACTAGTAAGGAATTGAGGGAATTCTCTAAGGCATGTTACTACATTCAAAACGTGTTTTAATTGATTAAATGCGAACTAGTGAATGGTGACTATGATTAAGTATGTGCTTGAGGGGAAGGAAGACTGAAAGCTATGTGAGTAATGATCTTTGACATGTCATGTTTCATTGGAAATCCCTGAGGCAAACGTTGGAAGGTTTAGGTTTTGTTTTGTTTGTTTTGTTTCGTCTTGTTTACTTTAGTTGTTTTGTTTTGCTCGAGGACTAGCAAAAGTTAAGTGTGGGGTAATTTGATAGGAGCATATTCATGCGACTTAATTAGCTTGCTCTCGTGCATTTATGTTGTGTTTACTTAGTTATTTTAGTGTTTAAGGCCACTTTTGTGTATTTTCAAATTATAAGGCCAAAGTGTGCAAGAAGATGCAAATTGGAGCCTTTTGGAGCGAAAGAGGAATGAATGAGTTGAAGACTTGAAGAAACGACGAATTCCTTCTCCAATGATGAATTCTTACCAAAATGAGGAATCCTACTCAAACAAGGTTTCCTACTTGAAGTAGGAAAGTAACCCTAAGTTTCCCGTTTTGGTAACCTTTCCTAATCTAAACGTCCGTATTTTCTAGCCACTTTGTAGGCCTTGTATGCACTTTAGTACACAAGACCATGGCCCTAGCCCAAGTTCCAACCAATGCCGTGTCTCTAGCCCAACTCCCTTCCCTTGCCGTGCAAGGGGGGGCAATTTTGTCCCCTTTTATGCACTTAAACCCTAACCCTAATCACCCTAATTCATATTCATTCACTAGCCGTCACACCCTAATTCATTCAGCCACTCTCTCCCATTTCCTCCCTAAGCCGCACCCATTCTCTACACAATTCGCAGCCACCATCTACCATTCTCTCCAATTCCCTCCTTCAATCCGTACATCCATAGACTCAAACATTCATTCTCCCTATCAGCCATAGCACCATAACCCTAAACTCCTCTCTAATCCGCAGCGACATCTCCATTTTTCCTCCCAAAACCATGCAGCCACCATCACCCAAACCCTTTTGCCGTGCATTCCCCCTTCCATTCTAGCCATCTTCCACATATTTCCCAACCTTGCCGCAGCCATCTCCACCACTTCCCACACCATCCTACACCTTCCACAACCATTGCCGCAGCCACTCTACCCTTCCTCTTCCATTCCAGCCACCTTACACACCTTCCTACATCACCCCATAACCTTGCCGCACCACTAAACCACCCTAAACCCATCTATAACCCAGAAATTCACCCAAATTCATCCAAAACCATCTCTGCCGCAGCAAGGAGAAGAGGAAAGAGGAGCTTCGACGCGCACCAATTCACGTGGATTCGTTGGGCGTTCTAGGTGTAATCAATCCTTTGTTCGTTATGTTTAAATTCAATTTTATTTCTCTTTCTGTGAACATGAGAGGCCAAACCCCTAATTAGCTAGGGGGTGATTCGAAACCATGTTTATGCTTGCAATATGAATTGATTACATTTGGTTGGAATTTCATAAGTTGTGGATTCAATTTGTTTAACTGTTTGATTGATAACTTATTTATGTATGTTTATTAAGAGTGCACGCTTAATTTTCATGCATGAATATGACGCTAGAATATAAGTGAGTTTCACCTAATAGTTATGAACTTATATTCACAAGTAGTGGAGGTTGCTTATAAACAATCGCGTTAAATGAATTCTTGGCACTAGTTTCATGCTCATCATAGTAACGAATGCCTCGTCAACACTTATAGTTTTCATGATGCTTAATGATCTTTGATTGTATCTTTATTGTGCTTTTCACGTAAAGGACTTTTGGAGAATGTTTTGAATTGCGTTGCGCTAACCCATCCAATTCATTAACTTAAGCAGAACTTGACGGTTAATTTAAGCGGACCTAATTAACTCGGGGTGTTGAGTTTCATAATTTATCGAAAGACCAACTGAAAATCAAAGTGTATGCAAGTGTGACATGTGTGGAGAAGAACCTTCTAGCTAGCATTCATCCATATTCTCATCACATTCATATTTACATTCTGCCTTTAAATTACAATCTGTGCATTTAATCTATTTTCGTCAAAACCTCAATCCCCCTTTACTTTAGTGTCCAATTTAGTTAGAAAGTGTCTTAGTTTGTGTTTCTAAGTGTTTTGATTCAAGTTGTTACACAAATTCGTCCAAATTCACCAAAGTGCTCAAAACTGCCCAGAAAGTGTTTTTAAGGCAGTTTTGAGTGTTTTGGGGCTGTTTTGAGTCTTTTGCTTTGTTTTAGTGTTTTATTGTTTAGTTTTGCATTCTTTGAGTCTAGTTTAGTGTTTTAAACTTTATTTTACGTTTTTGAGTCAGTTTCCAAGTGATTTTGCAATCCCTCCTAATCCCCGGTTAAGAACGATCCCTACTTATACATATACTACAATTGTCACAAGAGGGTTTTAATTTGTGTGCTTACTTAGTTCGCATCATACTTGGATCTAACGGAAAACATAACACAAAAGCCAGTGTAATAGCATTCTAGGATTCATATAGCCAATCCCATTTAATGGGATAAGGCTTTGTTGTTGTTGTTGTTATTGAAAGGAATTGGTAGTCTTGTAAAAAAATGGTGGATGCAGGGAAGAATAGAGTATGTAGTCATGTGTATTGTTTATTACATTGGCTTTGGTTTTGCCAGTTGCTATTGCTTCAGTGGCAAGAGCCTTTTCCACTATTTATTTTGAAAAGTACATCGCGTAACCGAATAAGAGATCAATGATTGAGTGTAACATGGTTGTTTAAATTAAGAACAATGTTTTTTCTTCTATTGATAACGAAGCTCTAATGCAGCATTTTCAAGTGTTGTGGACAATTGTAACTTGCATTGTTATCATTCTATACATTATAAATAATGGAATTAGGGTTTAATATTTAAGGTTAATATATGTCTAAGATATGTTTGTGAATTTTTATACGTGACCCGCCAAATAATTTTTTCCTAGATCCATCGCTGCATACAACCAATATTCAATTAGATAAATTTATTCATTGACGTGGCATGTACACGTCACTTTCCAAGTTAGATAGTACACCAATGTAATCTCTCAAACATTACAAAAATGTGATATCCTAAAATCAATCAACCACCAGTGGTCTAGAAAATATAGTTTAAGTTTTTATAGCATCACTATGAAAACCTCACTATAGAAGGGAATTTCAACCACGAGAGCACAAATTTCCCCAGCGTTGACAAGTTTGTTTGACAAGTTTGTCGTTGACCATATAAAATATTCTACATTAATCCATACATGTTTACGTTCGGTAGAAAATATAGTTTTAAGTTTGTATAGCATCACTTATGCTTAGTGCTTACATTATTTCCAAACTCGTTTACGTTCGGTAGAGGAGCTTAAGAAAGTACAGGATCAGAGCTTGACTAAACCAGGAATAGTCACAAGACAATAAGCTAATTAACTCAATAGCGGTATATAAGTTGCTTGTATGCATCTTTGTTCTTCGAGTAGTAGTCAATCTCTGCCTGCAAACGGAAAATCGCGATAGTTATTCGCTCTAAATTTTCAGTAGTGTTTTGCAATGGTCGAAATAATTTACTAGAACACCATCACAAAATCATATTCAAAACGTACCTTGCGGACCCCTTTTATCGCAACCAATAGGTTTTCCCCAAGTAAATCTGCGAACAAATTGTCTTCCTTGAGAGCTTCTAAAGATTCAGAAAGTGATTTCGGCAACCTTTCTACTTCTGCACCAAGGCCAGAAGGATTTGTATCTGTTCAACGAATTGAGGATATATTATTAATATGTCAGACTACAGTATATAATCTTCTTGAAAGAAAAGAGCCGCTTAAACTGTATCGAAAGTCTTCAAATAAGGCGCATAATCGTTTCAGTGAATGGGAAAGTAACACATTTAGTATGAAAAAGCAACTCATCTCAAATTATCAATCCAATCACTTTTATAAGGAAAATGAACATCATATCTAAAAGCCACCTATCCTCGTAATAAAATTAGGGAGAATAGAAGGTCAACTCAATACACATTTTATCAAGAATAATATGTTATCTTACCAACAGGTTCAGGGAGATGAAGATGATTCCTAAGACCATCAATACCAGCAGCAAGTATTGCAGCCAAGCCTAAGTGTGGATTTGCACATCCATCAAATGATTTAACCTCAAAGTTGCTCACCAAACCAGCTTGTATTCCAGGTGGGCATGCAGTTCTTAACGGAGCTTCTTTGTTTTCTTTTCCCCAACACTTGTATGCTCCACTCCATGTATTAGGTTGAATTCGGTCATAACTACACCAAATAATGGTTGAAAATAAGAGTGGATATTTCGATCAAAACAATTTTAAGGTAGAATAAAAAGGTATGAAAATGCATTCTAAGCTATGATATCGTATCTCCTACAAAATTGTACATCTAATACAAATTTAGCTCATAAGCTTTACATATATGTTACTCAAAAGCTCAAAATTGAAAGCATCAAACTTTAGATGCTTCAAAACATTGTGAAAGGCACCCATGAGATATTATTTTGATACCAAACATGGAACCATAGACTCATAAATTACTAGACACAAAAAACAACAAATAATGCAATAATTCAATTGGGGGAGTTTGGTATCACCTATTTGGAATCGGTGCTATAAATGCCAAAATTGCAGGAAGATGGTGTAAAACCCCTGCCAGGAATTCTTCCCCAATCTTTGACATTCCATGCCGAGAGGAACCACCAGATGCTGTAAACACATTTGTGCCATTCTGCCACAAACTAAGATGTACATGCGCGCCAGAGCCAATGTCATCAAGAGCATACCTGCCCAAGAGACCACAAAGTTACGCAGAGTACATTTAGTTAGGGACATCAAAGAAGAAAAATAATGAGAAACAGCCAAGCCCAGTTGAACATTAAGTCCCCAAATTAAACTAATCGACATTCTTGCTTTTTTTCACTGAAATAAGTATGTGACAACTACATCTGTAGGGAAAATTCAAGAACCTACTTAGGCATGAAAGTTGCCAACAATCCACGTTTCCTTGCAATGGCTCTAATAACTTCACGAGTATAAATCAGGTTGTCAGCAGCGTGCATACAAGCTGTGTGCCCAAGTACCATCTCAAATTGACCTTTCCCAGCTTCTGCATGTAACTACAGTTTGTACAACGACAAAAGTTAATAAAAGCTGGTCACACTTGAATTGCATTTGCAGCAAGGTATTGGGTGAGGTAGATAAAGAAAGAGAGAGAGAGAGAGAGAGAGAGCCCTTAATAAAGGTCTACCAGAAAAATCTTAAGAATGGGGAGTGAAAGACAGAGAAGTTGCCTGTATTTAATATTAAAACATAAATTACATAGCTACATGCGGAAGATACTAGAGTGCTCTATTGTATGTAAACTACACCCGTTAAACTCTACTACGCTGACAATAAAAGAAAATTATCATATCATATCGTAGTAATACCAAACTAACTTATTCAATTGTGGTCACTCACCCTTATTTCTCTTTAAGTTCTCTATAATTGCTTTCAATAAAATAAATAATAATAACATTTTAAGACTTTTTGACATACTTAATTGCTTACAATAAAATAAATAATTATAACATTTTAAGACTTTTTGACATACTTATTCATCCTGAAGTACCTTATATATATAAGGTAGTTTCATTATTTCTCTTGAAGTACCTTATAAGTCAAGATTAAATTATAAATGTGGTCACTCACCCTTATTTCTCTTGAAGTTCTCTATAATTACTTACATTAAAATAAAAAATTATAACATTTTAGGACTTTATGACATCGTTCCTAAGTACAACTAGACTTTGTAATGAAGAAGATGAAATTATCTTTGATTTAGTTATAATTATATTTGTCTTACAAAGTATTATATTCTATATATGTAATTATATATAATATATATATCAAAATTTTAGGTACCGTGAGGCTTCGCCTCACACCTAGGTAGGGCTATCCATGGGAAGCCTTGCATATGCCTTCGCCTTTTAATACATTGATATATATATATACACACACACACACATATATACATATATATATATATATATATAGAGGAGGCCTTTAAGGGAAGAGATCCCCATTTTTTTTTAAATGGAGATTAGTGGTGGGGCCCACACCACATTGAACTTCAACAAGCAAGATCAGTTTATCAAAAAGTCAAGACAAAATAAATGAACCCTTATTCTTAGATATAACTTAATCATGTGAAATGGTGGATCCTTACCTCCAAATGACATAAACAAAAGAATGGATGGATAAAAAGACCTATAAATTACACAGCACGGTATTTTGATGGAAAAGTTCGTCCTACAAAACTATAAAAACAATAAGCAACAATATCATGAGTTTTCTTCACCTGCTCCACGGTAATATTCAATGAATGAAGAGCAGGAACAATTTCGTGAAATAAATACGAAGCAGAATCATATGCCGATGTAGAGCAGTAGGGTGTTGAGTCAATGGGATCAATTCCTCCCTCCCATCCCTGCACAGTTTTAGATTTTGTATACAAAATTGTCACAATGTATGTAAAATGTTCAATTACAAACTGACTTAGAGTCAGAAGTATCCATTACCTTAGTATACCTTTCAAGAGAAAAAACTCATTCTCAAATCCTGCATTCATATCCTGGACGACATTGAAGATTTATTGCTCCTTTTTAGTGATAGAAAGCATATATAACTTGTCGATGAATTGGACATCAGTGCAATAAAGTGAACAAGCAGTCCACCAACAATACGAACATAAGCTTAACTGATTACATTGCAATACGGATGAAAAACAAACTTACTGAGTCCTGAGTAATAGCAGCCTATCAATTAGAGGGGAAAAAACATAGCATCTTCCACAAAGAGCATCAAGTATAATCACCAAATTCATCTATACGTAAACTATTTTTTGAGAAGAAAATATACATAAACTACTAATAATTCAACCTACCAAGTTAAAATCATCTTTCAAAATTTTTGAAACCCTACGTAAGGCTTCTCTTGGGCAGTATTCCCATGCTTCACCCGGTTTTAGATGCATATCGGCCAAAACCATCTCCTCTTGTTCTACCCTGTTGAGGAAAATATTGGTATTAAATAAAATAACACATTACTAAAAATGCAACATTTTAGATGCTGTTACTAAAATGAACATATTGTTACTCAGATAGAAAGATATACTTGGAAACCTCATGGAGTTTTAAAGTACCATGGAATTTTCCGTTTAGTCGATAAATCAGGCATGAGTCTGATCTCACCCACTCCAGTCAAATTAGTCTCATCAGCCGGACCATCAACGAATGAAGTCATTCCCATAGAAGCAAAAGTCAGACCAATACCATTTTTTATAACAACATCATTGAATCGCTTTTTGGGAACAACCTGAAACGATGATGGACAATGAATGAAGCAAATGAAATCAAAATCTATGCAATTTCAAGTCACCTATTAAAATTAGAAACAGTATAGGATGATAATTTCCCCATAGGAATCTATGATCTTGATTATAAGAGAACATAAGTTACGAAAAAGTAACAGCAACTGATTTCTTACTATCATTTATTCAACAGATTGTTACTAGTTTCACCATGGGTAAAGCATAAAAAGGCATTGTTGTATGTCTGGTATGATAGTGTGCTATGCAACAGTTCTCTTCAAAATGCACATCATGAGATGAGTGAACCATAACTAGCAAGAAGTTTCACAAAGTGGTATTCCCACTATATCTAAAATGAGCAACTTCTCTTTCATTTTTCTCATAAATGAAACTATGAATCTTGTTTTTTGGTTAGGAAAGCAATTTGTTGAGAGAATCTGGGACAATTTCTGTTTGACTGATGGTCACCTCAGGCCCACATGTAGCTTCTGACCTGTATCCTTTTCACAACTGTCACTTTCTTACAACTGGAACAACGCACCCACCACACGCACGTGCGCGCGCGCGCGCACACACACACACACCCACACCCACACACACAGAGACACAGATACAGAGACACACACACACATACACACATGGTCACTCTCTCTAATGAGAATATACGTATGGAAGTACTATTGTATATTTCAACCAAAAGAAAATAGAACTTACACGGCATCTCTGTTGTCCTGAAGTATCACTCCAGATAACACGAACAAGTGAGACATCATTTTCTGAGTCATTACTGTTCACCTTCACGAAGTCCGGTGATACATAATTATTTGAACCAGAAGATTTTACAGTATAATTAATCTTGTAAAACTGAATCGCATTTTGTGAAAATATGTCTTTAGCAGCCTCAACAGCTTCAGGGACTGAGAGATCGCCGTCAGCGCAAGCATCCCGTAGGACAGAGAAAACAACTTCACGTGCTTTTTTTGCACCTATCAAACATATAGATAAAATAATAAAAACTCAAAGTGACCTCTAACTCAAATATATAGATAAAATAAAAATAACTGAAGTCAATTTGGATTCTATATCTTATTGTAAGTGCGTAAAATAGTTATTAATAAGGAGTCAGAGGTACTTTCACCAACATATACATGTTGAGTTTGATAAAACATACCTACTTTAACTTCTTGTATCATTCTAGTCATGTTTTAATAAAACATATTTTAATTTGACAGTGCATTTTCTTTGCAAAACCTAGTGCTAATCCAACATACTTATACAAACAGATTGAGACAACTAGTGGTCCTCGGCCACAGAAGAAAAAAAGACATCTATTCTTCAGACAACAAGGTCTATTTTCATCATTGTGGTTGTGGATAACTAACAGACATGCATGATTGTATACAAAACTTAATTCACTTCATAATTTAGCAGACGTCAAACATATGTTCAAAAATTCTAGTACCATGTGCTAACGCAATAAAACATCTATTGCATAAACAAATTTTCAACACTATAAAAAAGACAAATACAATATTAAGTAGATATAGTAACAAACCTAAGTAGAAAGTTTCAGGAAATGCGTAGCCGTCAGTGCTAAACATCACCTGCAAATCGATTCATGCTCAACAGTCAGATGTATTACTAATTCAGATTTAGTAGGGGAAAGAACAAACATGGGCATGGGCATGGGCATGCATGCATGCATGCACACAAAAGGAAACATCTCTCCATTTTTTACACAGTGCGCAGACCATTATGGAGACATCTTTAATTATTCTACAACTCTACCTACTATCCCTCTGCAGAATTTTCATATAGCTAAGAGGGATGAATCAAACATGACATCAGATAGCTTCATGGCCAGGTCTTGGAAGAATAATAGAATACCCTGATCACTAAACTGCTTCGAGCAGATAGTTCAGTAGAATACTCTGGACTGCCTAAATCATGCTTAATTTTCTATACAGAGGAAAAATCTCTCTGTAGGTGCTCCTAGAACTTAGAATGCATAGTTTCTTCATTTGTTATCAGCTTAAATTTCACGTGCCGTACCTTCTTAATTGGAGCTAGCTCTAAAAGTTCCTTGACTGAAGATATCATCCCATGGACACTGAGCTTAGGAACAGCCAACCCAAAGTCAAGGTACACCTGTAAGGGAAAGTGTTTATCAACCGTAAGAACTTGTAAGGGTATTTCCAATGTGCAAAATAATGTAATTCACAGAGAATTAGAAAACCTTACCTGGGGATAAATGGAGGCTAGGTATGATGCTTCTTTTGAAAATGGGTAGGATGCATGTAAAAGAACTATACGGCATTTAGAAAATCTCTTGTCCTCAAGAACATCCCGAAGATGAAGAGGATTGGATAGCCGCATATCCAAATCTTTATCACCAAAACTAGTTACATGTGGTTAATTATTAGTACACGGACATCATGATTTTAAAAAAACAAACATATTATCATACAGATTGAAGCCCTTTCCTACTGGAATTGATAGTAGGCCGGGAATAATAACTTAAAATCTAAAAATCTGTTTGGTGCTTCCTAAAAATGGATCAACCTCCTGGACATTACATTAGTTCTACAGAAATCAACACTACCAGGCTTCTATGATGGATTTAATCTCCTGAAATGCAAGGATTAGTCAGCTAATCTTCAGACATATTTCTTCAACTAGTGACAGAGAATTTATTAGTTATCATTTCCTTTTGATAAGTCTCAGCAATCAAACAAAGTAGAATGTAAAAACATTTTGATAATCTCAAAATTACGATTACCCCGTATGTATCTGCATGGGCAAGTCAAAAAGCAGAGCAACCTCCAAACTACGAGTGAAGATAAAGTCGATAAAACTTTTATTTGATATGCGAACAGGCTGTACAGCTGGAAACATAGATTAATCTAATCAGAATACATAGGTGTAAACATAGCAAAAAACCCATCAAAATGCAGTACGCACCACGTAACATTTGTATTAATTTCCAGGCCACAGCGATATGCAGCTATACTTTTCAAGCCAAAAATCTTATTGCCAACTGTAGCACAGTCGATAAGGAATTCAACTAAATCAGGAAGTTACAGTTTTACACCAATAGATGACAAAGTAACGCGAACACCAAAGCTATTGAAAAGGATATGATTTCAATTTTCCAACAAACTTTTCGGTGAACAAATCCAGTGTCCAAGACGATCCACTGGGCAATTCCTAAAACAAACATAAAGTGACAAGAAAATTAATGATATGTGTTTGTTGCTCAGTAACTCAAACAAATCGATGAGAAACTGAAAACATAGATAAATTCGAAAAATTTCATTAGATCTTTGCCAATGTTAATGTCCAAATATAATTCCAGCAACTGAATTTTCGAGTAAGCGATTCGAATCACATACAGGACATAATATAACAAAACAAAACATAAAATTCAAAAAATTTTACGAACAATGCAAATGTTGTCCCACTCACTTCATTGAGAATTTCCTCAGCCAAATACTCAATTCTCAAAATCTGGCCAACAACCGGCGTGAAATTTTTATGCCAATCTATGTCGAGCTTCTTGTCAAACCTCAACCCATCATCAATGAGAATGACAGAGATTCTTGCAGCTTTGAAGCACGCCAAGCTGATTGCCTGCAATCCGGCGAGTCTCCGGTATTCTTCTACTCCATGCAAGGTTTTTTCCGATCCGTAGAGCTCGGCGACATCCTTCAAATTCCTCTGCAACTCATCGATACCAAAACATCACAAAAAACACAGCGTTTTGGCAACACAGAAACATCAGTCAGATAGATTACAGTTACAATCGACAGCGATAACCTGTTGACTTGAGATTGAATGCTAAAGGCGTAAGATAGCAGCGGAGTTGAGAGTTGAGGGCGTCGTTAATACACACCTTGAAGGAGAGGGAATGGGGTGCGTAGGATAAGGCGTCGCCAGTGGCTTCGGAGAAGCAGCTGATGAAGGGGATGGTGGAGTCGGCGGCGACGATGTTGTGGGCGTGGGCGTCGACGAGCTCCGCTTCCTCCACCGCCGTTTTCAGCTCCGTCAAATCCATGAGGCTAGTCGTTGGTCAAATCAAATGAACATTTGTGAGCGCGTTGAACCGGGAAAAACGTGGCGTCGTCATCCTCTTATATAATTATACGATAAGGAAGACCTTTACCAGAAATGATATGCAACAACGGACTCTGTTTTTTGTCTCCATTCAATGTTCCTCGGGATATGTGTATTTGAACCGTCCAAAACGGTCATTTCCTTTTTTATTCATTTGTAGAGTGCTGCAAGACTTGTCCGCCACATTCTGTTTTTGTCCCGATTCATTGTTTCTGAATATTTAAGAGCAAGCCCAGCGTGGGCATTTGCTCGGGGGACGGGGGACAGAACAGGGTCCGAGAGCCTAAAATCATGTGACGTCAGCCTGACGTCAGGCATTATTTAATTTTTTTTTGTGTCATGCGCATCGTCGACACAAAATCAGAAAAAAAAAATTAACTTTTTCAGTTACCGTTGGGAAGCCACGTGGCTTCCCACAGTCCGTTCGATCTCAACGGATATTTAATTTGGACCATTCGATCTCAACGGTCAAAAAAAAATAAAAAAAATCTTATTTAATATCCACCGTTCGATCTGAGATCAACGGTGGATATTAATATGCTTTATAAATAAAAAAATAAAAGAAAAAATAGTTTTAAAATTAAGAAAAGTTACCGTTGTAACACGTGGCACAATCTGGAGTGTTGGAATTCAAATTTTTTTATATCCAACGGCAGAGATTAATTAATTGAATAAAAATTGTAAAAAATTCAAAAAAATTCAAAAAAAAATCTGAATTTTTTTTTAAAAAAATTGTTTTTACTTTTCTATAAATACCTTCTCATTATCATCTACCTTACACAACAATTTCATATTTTCTCAACTACTTTCAATCACATTCCTTTCTTTGTCTCAAAGTTTGAATCCATTTTTTTTTCAACAAAATGACCATTGGTGCAGGTACGAATTGGTCGCTTATTGAAGATGTTGTGTTGTGTACTAGCTGGGTTGAAGTTACTCATAGTTCTCTTACGGGTAATGAGATGCAGTTGCGAGAAATGTGGAGTCTTATTCATACCAATTATCTTGAGAAAATTAGTGGGAAAAGAACCAAAGAATCGATGTTCAGTCGTTGGAAATTACTTAGCCAATCGTTTAGTACGTGGAGAGACGCCTTGGCACAAGCTAGTAGTAATATTCAAAGTGGGGAAAATTACTCAAATCAGGTAACAATATATTATTTATTTGATACCAAAATTTACATTATAATTATTTGTTTGTATTATTTATTTGTTACCTACATAATTTATTATTTATTGTTTGTATTATTTATTTGTTACCTACTTACATTATAATTATGTTGTTTGTATTATTTATTTGTTACTTATTTTCATTATAATTATTTCTTCTCCTGCATTGTGTAGGACCTTCAAGCACAAGCTTGGTATGCTGCCAAAACCAAAAGCAAAAATAAATCATTCAACCGGTGGGAATGTTGGAATATTGTCAAAGATTGTCCTATATTTAGAGTTGTGCCAATCGGTCCAAAGGTGCACATGAACAGCACCCTTCTACACTCTACACCCAATCATGTCTCGCATGTTCATGAAGATGATGCAAAAGAAGTGCCCGAAACGCCCCTCCCTGAACAAGCGTCGGGTTCGACCCATTATCCAATTAGGCCTCAAGGTAAGAAGGCTTCAAAGAGAAAATGGAGTGCTTCCAAGAATGATTATGCAAAGTTCATGGAAGAACTTACTCGCCAAGATGAATTGACTTTGGCGAGGGAACTAGCGAAATATGAGGCTGATAAAGGCTAGAGAGGACGTAAAAGCTGCAGCTATTGAGAGAGAATTTCAAGCTAATGAGAGAGAAAGAGAGCTACTTAGGCAAGAAAGGGAACATGTTAGAGAAGAAAGACGGGCTCAACGAGATCGTGAGATTATGAACATGCCTTTAGAAGGGAAGTCTCCAAATTCTAAATTTTTTTGGAAGTCAGAGAAAGCGGACGTGGTGCGAAGGAGGCGTGCAAGAGAAGCGATAGCAAGCCAAGATGGTCCTAGCACCACAAGAGAAGATCATCCTAACACCACAAATTGGTTAAGTGATGATGAATAGAGTACCTTTTGTAATCGGAGCCCATAATTTTCCAATCACTTTGGGTTGTAATTTATTATTTATTGTTTATATTATTTATTTTGTTTCCAATTTATTGAATATTTATCCTCAAAGATTGTGAACAGATTATGACACGTGGCGCGACGTGATTGGTTAATAATCTTATCAGAAATCCATCACTAATAATTGTATTTTCGGATAATGACACGTGGCATAACGAGTACAATTAAAAAATTTATCGGAAATCCATCCCCAATAATTGTCTTTTCGGATTTTATGACAAGTGGCACAACGACAACAATTAAAAATCTTATCCGAAATTACAAATAAAATTATTTTGTATTATTTAATAATACTTCGGATAATGACACGTGATAAGTCACATTTTGCATGCACTTATATCTTCCTTATTTGGCGTCTTTGTGATTGTTTTGGATTAAACTAGTTGCATTTTACGTTATTTGGTGTTAGTGTGCAGCCAAGAGTGATTTTGGATCAATGGGAAGGCAAATGAAGTAAAAACATTCCAGAAAAGATGTGAAGTGTTAAGAGATGAAATTCGGCCTTATTGGGTGATTTTAAACAAGGCAAAAACATTGAAGTCAGCCATGTGCTTCCAACACCATAACATGCATTCACATGCATGCTCAAAACCTTGGCCGTGTGTTCCCATATCATCCCTTCATGTTATGAATTTCTAGCACCAAATCAGATTCCACTTCCATTACTTAAGCTAATCAGCCACATTTTTACCATGATCACAATCAATCTATGCCGTGCACTCCCATGTGGTCCAAGTCAGATTATACATTTCTAAAACACCAAAACATCATTCACATGCATGACTTACAATCTGACCTTGCATTCTATTACTTTTCTCCACTTCATCTTGGCAGAAATTCACATGCATTTTGATTAAACAAACCACACTCCTTGCAGCCCTCATTTCAGAAATCCATTTCATTCCCATCATGTCCAAACCGTGTGTTTTATTCCCATTTCCAGATTTGTATAAACATTTTCTGGTGCTCTAATTCACCTTTGCAGACTCCACTCAATTGTTGCAGCAAGAACACATGCATTTGGATTAAACAAACCAAATGCTTGCAGACCTTGTCCATCCCATGTGTCCACTACCTCAGAAACCCATCATTCCATCTGATTTATGCTCTGCCATCTGATTTAAACAATTGCTAGATCCAATCTCAATGTTGGGGGACACATTCTTTTCCATAAAACAAGTCTCATTTCTGTCCCAAAGGGGCTCCGAAAATGTTCTTCTTCATTTCAGTCCATTACACACTCTAAAACCTCTCCTTTCACTCCATTCTCTGCCCATTTTCTGTCCCAAGGGCAGAAACCATTCAAACTTCACCATTCCACCTTCATCCGTACCATACTTGGAGAAGCAACACCAAGGGACTCTTTAAGGACTTCAACATCAGATTTGCTTCAAGGGTTCATTCTTATCAATTCTATGTTCATTCATGTTTTATATTTCTATGTCAAATCTGTTGTAAACATGAATTGTAACTAATCTATCCTTAGGGATTCGATGTAACCTTGCAAAGTTTGCCATGTAATTAAGTTAGAATGCTCATTTTGTCCATCTAGTTCTTGCTTCATTCTCTGTTATAATTGTGAATTTGTGAGTTGATTTGTATGCTTGATCTCCATTTGAGTTAACCACAAGTTATTTAGCCAAGATTAAAGCATACATCATGTCTAATATTGGTGGATTTGTGAATGAATGAAGGGAAAGCTTGGCAAACATCCTGCCAAGTGTTCCCTTTGGTTTAGTGAATGTTTCTTGTGAATTACATACTCTAGATTATGAACCGAAGTTGCACATCACAATTAGGTTCAAGATTATAGACATTTGATCAAATCCACACATCATATGGTTGATCATATCCAAGTGAAACAAACTCAAGAAATAGGTAGATGAATGAGTATAAACTAACTTAACAAACATGGACTTAGTTGAGCAATGGTGAAATCGAATCCCTAGTTTCATTTCCATTGATACTATCCTATTATATTAGCTATTGATTCATTGATTTGTGTTTACTTCATTTTCTTATGCTTTCTAGATTTATATCTCAAATCTGCCTATTTATGCCTAGTTTGATTAGTTTGATTAGTTTGATTCATTTCTTAGAGTTCTAGCAAAACAAGTAATTACATAAGTCCAATTAGTCCCTGTGGATTCGACACCCTTGCTTGTGCCATTATACTAAATATATTCTAGCATTAGGAAGGAAATATACATCAACAACACGTGGCGCAACGAGAACGATTAAAAATCTTATCCGATATTACAATTAAAATTATTTTTTATTATTTTATAAATAAAAAAAATACTGATATTTTATTGCCTATTGCGAGGGCTATTGAAGTGTAACGGTGGAGATGCAAATGCTATTGCCAGGGCTATTACTGTTCATTAAGGGCAGTTACTGTTCATTAGGTGGATTGAATAGTGCATAGCCTGGGGGGAGGGCTCCAACGTTGGAGTTTCTCTAAGGGGATATACATGGATTGTTTATAGAGAACTTTAACGAAAAGTTTCAGTTACTGTTTATTTTTAACGAAAAATTATATTTTTATACCAAAAAGTCAATCCTGGTACTATTCATTTTACATTTTATTTTGTCCTTATCGTTAAAACTCAAAATTTTCAAACCCTTTTCATTAGTTTTCCTTTGTTTTTATATGTGTTTTTTTAATAACTGCTAGCAGTCTTACAGAAAATGTTTTTAAGTTTGAAAAATACTTGTAATGTTTCCTGTTATGTACTTCTTGTAAGAAACATTTAAGCATTTTTCTAGTATTTGCTTCCATTTTTACGAAGAATTAGTCTCAAATTTTTTTTGTTAAAAGTGTCTTCAGTATTTTAAAAATACTTTCAAATAAGCCCATAATATATAAAGTTATATGTGTGACTCTCAAATCCAACCCTATTCAATAGAGACTTTCAAAAGGTCAACAAAAGTCACCATATATTGAAT